AAAGATTACTCTAAACATAAGATAAAGTACACAGATGTATAGACACATTTATTGGAAAATGAAGTCACATATACAGGCGATCCTAGTAACTAAAAAGTTATTCATAATATAAATTAAATTTTATTGCCTACGAAGTACATGCAGACAAAGTATGATAGAAAGTGGGATAAAACAAGCAGCAAAATATGATACATTTTGATGAATGCATAAGCAAGTAGCTGTACAATTCACTTGTGCTGTGACACTTGTGTTCTACCATCCTGCCACCAGGGCAAAGTTGCTTTGCTGTTTACCCTATTGTAGTCCACTGCATACATGCAAATGGCAAACTGGCAGAATATTTATGTTTCTTTTCTTTTTTCTCTCTTAGCAACAGGATCTTGCTCTGTCACCCAGGCTGGAGTACCGTGGCACAATCATAGCTCACTGCAACCTCAAACTCCTGGGCTCAAGTAAGCCTCCCACCTTAGCCTCCTGAGTAGCTGGGACGACAGGCGTGCACCACCATGCCTGGCTAATATATTTGTGTGTGTTTTGTAGAGATGGGGTCTCACTATGTTGCTGGTCCCAAATGCCTGGGCTCCACCAATCCTCCAACCTCAACCTGCCAAAGTGCTGGGATTACAGGAATGAGCCACCACGCCTTGTCTGTTTCTGACTCTTTCCAGATGTATTACTCATTTAGATCTTTCCAATATTATTATGGGAAGGAAGTACATTAAGATAATGTGAAATTGCTTGTACCATTAAGCTAATCATTACTTTAATATCTTTGCTGTGACTTGTAACTTTGTATAATTTAGCCTGCTTTTAATATTATTACATACTATTACAAGTATTAAGCATAACATGGTTTTCCAGCTTTGTGAACCACTAGTCATTGAATCTCAGTTTGAACATATTAGCTATCAACTTCAAACAACCATTTATCCATAGACTGCTTTGGACTCAGGGTAGTATTTGTATCATTTGGGTGGGAGGTGTGTATTACATGGCAATAAATACAACTGCTACACTGAACTCTAGGTATCGGTCAGCATAGGTTTCAAATATTACATTCTGGCATCTTGGACCAGCCTCTTTCCAGTGGTCCATGTAACCCCTAGGGCAAGGTCCATGTGACCCCCAGTACATCTATGCAACCCCCAGGGCAAGTCAAACTCTCAACACTGGTCCTTCCTGTTTGCTGATCCCCTGTAGCAAACTGAGACTGCCTCTGTGTCTCAGGATAGGACCCTTCCTAAACTCACAGACTGGCCGTGTCCAAAGATTTTGTAGAAAAACTCTTCATAACCAGTGCTAAGTATACTTACTGGTTTAAAATACAACTGAATGCAAAAGCAACACTACAAGGAGGACCCAAAAAAACACAGAATTTACTTATAAGAAAACTGTGTATTCATTCTTACATCTGTAAACTTCAGTCACCTTCAAAGTGCTCTGTTTGAGGCAATACACCTATTGAGATGCTTTTTCCACTGCTCAAAACGGGTTTTGAACTCGTCAGTTTTGATGCCTTTTCATGCTTCTGCCATTTATGGTTTCACCTCTTCCACATCAGTAAAACATTTCCCTTTGAGGACTTTTTTCATCAGGGGAAACAAAGTAAAAGTCCCTTGGGGTGAAATTGGGTGAATAGGGAGGGTGGGGCATGGGGGTCATGCTGTTTTGGTTCCAAAACTGCTGAACACTCAGGGTGGTGGAGGCAGGTATGTTGTCATGGTGAAAGATGAGACAACTCAGGGTGTTTTTCTATAAATCATGACACAACCTTCTCGAAACTTGCAGATAAAAACTTTGGTTGACCGTTTAATCTGGAGAAACAAAGTCCAAGTGTACTACAAGGGGCCCGCCCTTCAAAAGATAATTCCAATTTGGGGAGGGGGGTCCACCTTCTATTTTCACTTAGATGTCTACCTTTAAATCATAGATTCGAGAGATGAAGTAGCTGGAAAGAATATTCTCCTTATACCTTAAAATTCTTTCATTTCATTTTCTTCTGCACCTGCATGTAGAAATGTGTTAACATTCTAGGCCAGATGCAGCAGCTCATACTGTAACATCAGCAATTTGGAAGGCTGAGGTGGAAGGACTGCTTGAGGCCAGGAGTTTGAGACTAGTCTGAGCAACATAGCAAGACCCCATCTCGACCAAAAAAAATTAAAAATTAGGCGTGGTGGCATGTGCCTGTAGTCCCAGGTACTCAAGAAGCTGAGGCAGAAAGATCACTTGAGCCCTGGAGGTCAAGTCTGCAATGAGCTATGATCGTACCACAGCACTCCAGATCCTGTCTCTAAAAAAAAAGAAAAAAGAGAAATATATTAATATTCTTAAAAACAACAATGAAATATAGACCAGGCGATAGGAGCTGAACTATGTGATAAGGTAGACTAATGAAAGTTCACAGTTAGGTCAAGAAATAGTAATTGGTAAAAAAAAATTGCAGATAAGACAAAGTCCAAGCCTTCATGGAGCACATATTCTGTCAGGTCAAGACAAACAATAAGCGTTTCAGCACTTAAACATATGAGATCATTGCAGATAGTTGGTAAGTATTCTGTAGAAAGTAAAACAACATTCTGACATAGAGGGTACCTTAGTTAAGGTACAGTCTAGTCTACTTGTAGTGGAGAGCCATACACTTAACAAGACAGAAGTGGGTGTTCCCCTCTTTCCCCTGTAACTGTCTGGAGGACACATGTAAGATGCCTCTGTCATCCTCATCTCTGCAATCTTTCATCTATCGGTTCTCTAGCTGCTTCAGCACCTGTCGCCTGGTCTGTATTCCAACTAGGAGAAAGGAGAAAAAGTTTGTGGGGCTCGCAAGTCCATCACTTCTGTTCACATTCTCTTGATTAGAACTTCCGGTCCATGACATGCCTGGCTACAAGGGAAGCTGGGATATGTAGTTTCTACTTCTGTGGTCCTGTGTTCACCTAAAACTCCAGAGGAAGAGGAGAAGGATGATGGGTGGACAACAGTCCCCACCAGAGTGTGGCTGGATGGGGCAGGAGGCTGTTTTAACCAGGAAGTCAAGGAAGCCTCTGTTAGAAAGTGATGGTTGAAGAAGCCAAACGGTGGAGCAAGGCTAAATTTCAGTCCCACCTTGGGACCCTCAGCAGGCACTTTTGAGTAGGTCACAGCCCATATGCCCTCACGCAAAGCAGAATTTACAGGGTCTGAACTGCCTTAGATTAAGAGCAGAATAATTGGGATGGAATCTTCCCCCAGGGAAACTGAAATTGAGATGCAAGTTTCTATTTTGCCAAGAGTTGCTTGTTGTTTGTTTTTGTTTTTTTCACCTCATTTGAGGGATATTACAAGAAACTTAAAAATGACGTAACGATAAAATGTGATTGAGATGAACTGCTTATTATACTCAGGAACGGGTTTTTCACTGGATATCAAATAATATCAAGAAAAGTATGCCTTACTGCTAATATTCTATTTCTTGATCCCAGTGGTGGTTTACACGGGTGGATTATCTCTGACCATTCATCAAACACCTTTTCATAAACACCCTTATGATTATGCACTTTTCTGTATTTAAGCTGTTAACATTTATCGAAGGCCATTGTTTTGGACACACCTCCTGCACTAGGTCCAGCGGACAGAACAAACCAGAATGGAGTCACCTGTGCTAAGTGCCAAGTAATTAAACTACACTGGGTGGGGGGGAGAGGGTGCAAAACCAAGAGATTCACAGCAACCAATCGGAAGAGGCCTCGCTTACCTGAGCCCGCAGGAAGAGGAAGTCGACTTCTCTGTTCTCACCCTATCAGGAAAGTGGCTCCAAAACTACGAATCCGATTTTGATTCCCGGTCTCTACTTCCTCCAGTCTCTTCCGCCCACAGAGCCCCCCTCCCGGGCTCGCTCTGCGCGCTGGAAGATTCCCTCTGTTTTTCAGTGAAATGCTACCCCATTCTAGGATCACAAGTGGAGCCAATTATACTGGATCCATGGTGACTCTGTCTCTCGACAAAGTTACACTTCAACTTAAAAAACGCAGACAAGCCGGGCACGGAGCGGCCACTGCACTCCAATCTGGGCAACCGAGTGAGACTTCAACTCAAAAAATAAATAAATAAAAAATAAAAAAACGCAGACAGAGCAGGCATCCCCGAGGGCGGTGTGTGCGGCGGCGGATCACAGAGGTCCTGTCGGGGTGAGGGCGCCCCACGAAGAGCCGCTCAGCGCAGGCAGGCGGTTGGCCGCGTGGCGGAAGCCCCCTCCCCGCCAGGACCCGTTCTCTGGAGGACGGGAGGCGCGGACGGGAACCCCGGGCCGCCGAGCGAGTTCCCGGAGACGGTCGCCAGCCGTCGCGGGAGCCGCGTGTCCCGGCTGCCTCCTCACGCCCTTCCCCCGGGAGCCCTCGAGGCCGCTGCTCACCGTCGCGGACGGGCAGCGCCGCGTCTCCGCGCGCGTCCTGTCCGTCGCTCAGACGCTTCCCCCCTCCCGGGGGCCCGGAGGCCCTTGACAGCCATTTCGGACTTGTGAGACAGATGTCTTGTGTTCCGACGCTACGCCCAGAATAAAGGCCGAGAAGAAACTCCCGGGTATCCGACAGCAGCAAGCCCCGCGGTGATTTTCTGACCCGTTTGGGGACCATGGCTCGTTTGGAGATCGCTGCCCACCCCCACCCCGACATCAGCTCTTCGCAGTGGGGACCCCCGGGGACCCCCC